AACATTTAAAGTGAATCTCCCTCGCTGCAGTTTAAGGCCGTTTTCCCCTGTGCTGTCCCAGGTGGACATGGAGAATGACTTATTATATGCATTTTCATAACCATTTTTTAGATACTTGACAACTGCTTTTATGTCCCCCTTCAGTCTTCCTTTCTCTACACTAAAATCACATGAAAGAAGATAAAGAAAACTAGTAAACAGAGCTTTAATTAGCTCCATGTAGCAAATTTTAAGCTACATCCTAAAAATAAAATACTGGAAAGAACATCAGTAAACCACATTACTCAGGAGAATACAAGCAGTAGTAGCATGCCAGCATGATTACATAACAGAGAAATAGGAACTCTGCAAAAGGTCAAATGAACACTAAGACTCTGAGCAAAAAGGCAGATCTTTCTCTGTATCTCTTACTTCCAAAAAGAAAAAAAGTGTTCTGCGAAGTTGATGGAAAGAACAAAAATACATGTAATTTAAGAATACCTTTGCAAGTTATTAGGCCCCCTCACTGAACTAAACCAGAGCTTTGCCTGCTTACAGACTGCCGGAAGAATGCCTTTGTATTTAAGGACTGGACTGACACTCAGGAGACAAGTTTAATTCTTAGCTTTTCACTGAGACTTCCTATGTGATTTGGGGCAAATCACCAAATCTCTCTCACCCCAATTACGTATTAACAGAATGAGCAGTAGCTCCACTTCTTTCCTCTTGAACTCTTCCCATTTTGTTTTTTTTCTAGATGATAAGCCCTTTAGGATGTGGGCTGTCTGCACTGAAGCACGGGGGATCCAACATAGCAGGGGCTGAAGTCAGTAGAAGCTTCTGAGCGCTACTGCATCCCCAAAGGCAACGAGAGGCTACGAAATACAGAGTTGTAATGTATAAGGTATATCCTGCCAGAAGATGTGTTAAGTATCAACTTCAAATTGATTGCTTGTGTCTTTTGATGGTGTCAGATCATGCTTATTTTCAGGCAGTGCACAGGCTGGCTTATGTGTTAATATTGTAAAAGGAACAAAACCTCAAAAAAAAGAAAAAGAAAAAGATTTGAGTAGTACAGTAACTATTGAACCTATCTACTTTTATTTCCTGGCAGTTATTTTAATAGAGGATATATGGAAGAGCAATATACCAGCATGATCACATAACAGAAGGCTGACCTATGAAAAAGGTTAAATAAATGTTGAGATTGAGGGCAATCATGGGTTCTTTAATGTTTTTCTCCAGACGTCTCTGTGAATTAGGGAGGTGTGTGAAGTAATGAAGGAACATTATTTTGCAGACCATGGGCTGACGATCACAAAGACTCCGACAGTGACTACGTACCATGGTCAAACCCTTGCAAACCTATGGAGGCCTACCCTGAAGGAGTTGCTTAAAGTCACAAAGATACCAATATGCCAGAACATGGAGCTGAACTCATGAGTTCAGGCAAGAATCCAGAAGACTCAACAACTTTCATTAAGGTAGAAATGTTCAGGAAATGAACTCCAAATCGACAGAGCCAAAACAGTACGGAAGCCTTAATATATAAAAAGCTTTCCGCTTACCTCTCCAATAGAAACTACTTCTAAAAGATTGTTTTCTTTATGGATGAAGAATCTGCTATATAGTTGCTTCCAGAATTGTCTTATTTTAATCCAGGTGTTTTAAAACTGCAACAAAAGAGTAACTTCACTTCAGTTCTCACTTCTGTCAAGGCACTGGTCGTTAACCTAGCAGCATGCCAATAACCTATTGGTTTGGACTTTTCCTTATTCTTTCTGGAATATGTGTATTTGTCATCTTATTTCACTTCCTATTTGTATAGGATGACAGCAAGAAAACTATTTTTGTGACAGTAGAGCTACTGTCCACACTGATAGCAGCATGTCCCTGCAAGAAAACAGCAGGCGGCAGAATGCTGCCACTTCAGCATTAGTGGCAGAATGTCTCTACAGGCTGTGATTTAAAAAATAACACTCATGCTATTTGCACTGCTTCCTTTTACTCTGGGGAGAAACCAGATTATCACTTTCAAAGATATAAGGCATTCTTACCAGTACTGTTTCTTGTTGTATTGTCCCCATTTTCTACACTTGACACAAATCATTCCTGATTTTACTACACAGAGTTAGGACACGATGCAGGTCCTTGCTGCTCTTTATAGATGAGTCTCCATACCTTATCAACTGTCAGCTAACCAATGTCCTAAGAATTTGGTTGTATCTATTTCCTTCTATGCTTTTGTTCATAGTTCTCTGGAGATTTTGCCTGCAGTTGCCGCTCATTCGTACTCTTCCTTCTAAAAACCACTGGTCAAAATTCATCTATTTTATTTGAAGGGATAAAATAAAGATCTGAGGCATGATGGGGTAGAAACCTTGGCAGTAGAAGCGGCAGGCTTCATTCTGTAGCGGTCTGCTTTTTGGCTTCCTATATACGTATCCAACCTGAGTCCTTGGGCTGTGCATCATCCCGTTAGGTTGAGCTGCAGTTCCATTTACTTTGGTTGTCTTCCAGAGAAAGAACATGATCCTGAAAAATGCTCTTGGATCCCTCAGAGAGGAAACAGGGGCGTTCACATCCCCTTGAAGTCAGAGTGAGGACACAACCATTCTCAGGATCAAGTCCGTGTTAATGATGTTGCATCTACTACAGGCCCACATATGAGAGGGCTATTTAAAAAGCTGCAGACAGTGACTTCAATTCACTTAGCGGCTCCCCTTACTCGTCCTACAGACAGAAAGGAGCAGCTAGGTTTAGAGCCCTTAGAGTCCCCTCTGCCTGCAAGGCATCTCATACTCTGCAAGGTGAATTCCACTGAATAACTGAGTTGTTGCAAAATGAAAACTACACCCTACCCACAGGACAGGGGGGACTTTTAAGATTCCAGGACTGTAGGAAGAAACCCGTTCTCCGCCAAAATAAAGCAAAGCTTTTCCCAAAGTGCTTAACTAAAGGGTATCCACGCCACACTTTTATTTTTCATCCTTCCTTGACCTTTAATTTAATGCAAGTACTCAAAATAAGCAATTTTAGCTGTGTTTTCTTCTCAACTTCTCCCACTTCGGGCCACACACACAAAGATCATTCTGTGACTTGACACCCCTCCTTTCTTAAAATCTTATGGTGAGGAGAAAAAAAAAGGATGTTATTTTAAACAACCGCAAACTAGAGTTTTTTTGTCCATTAGGGTACTTATTTATCCAACTGTTTCAATTCTTGCCTTTTTTATATTGAAAATTATAGCTTTTATGGATTCCTGTAAACTTCTAGTATGAAAATGGCTCTTTTTCAAAAATGTGCTTCGAGATCACTAAAAATAATTCACTTGTATTTACATTTTCTTTACGTAAAGTTTAAGATAATGCCTACTTACTGCTCATCCTTACCTTTATTAATCTACGTCCTTTCATTTTTGATATATTAAAGGGGTATTTATTGCTGACAAAATGGTAGTTGAGATACATTAACGACCTTATTACACAACAGATACCTCAACACTAGCATCATAAGAAGGTCCCTCATCCAGCCTCACCAACATTCACTAACCTTCAGCAGTATGCACCACTTCTGGAAGTAAGAAGACACAAGCAGTCCCTCTGGCAGACTGGCCTTTGAATGACCGTTTGCCAGTGTATCTATTTGCCCCAGTTCTAGACCAGGTTTGTGATGGGTGATTAGCTTCAGAGCATCCAGGATTGATGCCACTAAACTCATATGATGTTGCTATATTCGACTCGTTGTACCTATCTCCAAATGCTCTGAACCAGTGATTTCAGAGGGCTTTCCCTTTTATTACCAAAGCATCTTGTTTATTAAGAAAATTTCAGGTTTGGGGACTCTTTCTGCCATAATATTTTATACATTCATGCTGCAAATGACCCCTCCAGCCACCAGATTCCATTTCTTGGCAGCAAGAGTTAGAACTACTGAACGTTGATGCCAGCTGCTTCTTCAGACTTGGTGGCCTCTGATTGCAAAGGTAGGTATATATATACAGCACAGAACTCCTGGGCTCTACCTGCTAGCTACTTGAAAACTGAACTACTGCAATGATACTCCCAAAGCAAACTTTATTTTGGTTTGGCATGAGGTATAAGGCAATTCAGAAACTGGCTCTCTCTGAAAGTTCCCCTTTCCTTGTTATTTCCTTCCAAGAATGTTATTAAAAAAGAAAAAAGAGAGACTGTTTTCCACTTTTAAATTGCTATTCACTCACCAAAGCGAATAGCCCTCATACATATTTCTGGTGAATACAGTTCATGAAACGTTAGTCAATTAAAAACAACTAAGATGGCAGCAGCCTCTCTCAAGGAATATATCATGACAGGTGTGATATCCCAGAAAATAAGTTTTCTTCTATCACTAATTCTGTCTTAAGTCCTTCTAAAGGGGACATGCAAGGCTTCTACAATAAATTACTCTCCATCAAGGCTGGAACCGACATAGAGTTAAATAGTTTTTCTGATCGAATCTCTATCATCTGAAAACTGTTTCATTGACTCCACACTAGTACCATATTTTACCATAAATGTAGAATTTCAGTATACACCCATGAAAAAGATTAGAATGCTGTTTTCTCCACAAAACACTTCTCTGCAAGGAATATCTCATCCCAAGTAAACGTTTTGAAAAAACAGACCATGTAAGTAGTTCAACAAGGTGAGTTCTTTTCCACTGTATTTAAACTATATGCATGCGCATTATAATAGGCGGGCTGAACGCTTTCTCAGTAGGGATATGTATTGACATTTTTGGACAGTAGCAGCAGCCTTTGAATTTTCACTTCAACTACTGCTTAAAAATGACACTGTCAGAAAGGAAACACCTACTGTGCACCTTCACTTGCCTGCTGATCCCTTACTAGTTAACCCTAAAGTGCATATGTATACAGCCTTAATCCCCAAGTGAGTATCTGGACCAGGGGAAATCTGGAATTAATTGCAAAGTATTTTGGTTACTAATGCAGCTGTTACAAGTGTTTGATTTGGCAAGGGAACAGAAAAGGCACTGCATACCAATTTCGTGAGCCACTGTAAAAGCTGCATGGAGGCCGTCATCTTCAATCACCGCACAGCTGCGCTCAGGAGAGCATATGGTCCCAACGTCTGCCATTCCCAGAGTATCACATGAATGATGCCCACATAAATCCTGCCCAGGAAGGAAAAAAAAAATCATTAAAAAATTTTTTAGACCCATAGGTAACAAGTTAGTCACCAGCTTTTTGCAAACAGCAGAACCAGGATAAAAACAACAATATTAGCTTCCATCTAGAGATGTCAAAAAGCAGGATGACACCATCCCCCCCCCCACTAGAGTTAGTGAGAGTCTCTTCATTGACTTTAATGGGATTTGGATAGAACCTGTAATTAATTATTGTTATTTAGATTTGTATTTCCGATTCATATTGAGCTATTGAGCTAGGTACTGAACATACAGCTAGTAGAAACACTTCTTCACTTATGATAAAAATAGAAGAGAGATTCTACTTAGAGAAGGTGAACCAAGGGCAGAGAGAGAAAGCTTCATATTCCTACTCAGTCCTCTAAACAGAACATTAACTGTCTTTTCAAAACACTAATCTTATGCTTGTGCCGAAAGAAGTGAGATAGTTATATAGTAAAGCCTCATGCCACACCTGTAAAGCAGTACAGTGATTAATAATATATTGTCCAACATGCCTAGGTATTTAAGCAATTTTCAAAGGTTGCTTAGGAGCCAGTGATAGGGCAAAGCATGAAACCCCCCCCGATTCCTAGTCTTACTAGTGCAACAACTGGATTGCACGCTCTCTACATGTAGGTACGGGATGGCTCTAAAAAACATGCAGGTAGTATTAGGGTTTTGATTTTTTTTCCATTCCAGGACACAAACAGTAAAGAAGAAAAAATAAAAGAGCAGATTTGGCCAGGCATACAGTATTTTAATAACCAGTAATAACTTTTCAATGTTTCTCCTGAAGCAGAGGGAAGAATACTAGTCATAATTGACTGGATGTGTATATGCTTTTTTGGTTGAGAAGGAAAAATAGGGACTGTGACTATTTGGAACATGCCTAAACATTTCATTGTGATTGACTGAAAATGTCATTTTCAAGACGTGTCAGTATTAACAAATATCTTTATCAAAATGTTCTGAGGACTACCTGTTCCCCCTCACACAATAGCTTCCATGCATTAAGACTCCCTTCCTATCTTCAGATCTCCTATTAGGAAGCATTTCTTCCATGAAGCCTTTCACAATTAATCCATCTCAATAACAGATATCCTGAATGAGGTTCCTAGTCAAAAACATTCTCACACACTCACGACAGTTTCAAATTTAGGCAAACTTGAAAATGCATGGATTCAAATCCACTGAAGTTGGAAAAAAACACCCTGAGTTCACAGATACTGAGACAGAACATCTCTTTACATAACAGAGAAAAGTCTAAACTGATATTTTTTCAAGATGAAATAAAGAAAATTTCAAGCTAAAACAAAGAAATAATTTAGCAATACTACATATAAGGAGCAAGAATTTCAGAATCAGTTCTTCTGCCTTCCAGGTGTAGGGCTGTCTAGGAAGTTTTTTCTGTAAGTGCACTTATAGTGCTAGTTAATGACAAGATTTAAATGCTGCAATACCAATGCACAAAAAGAGAAGCAAGAAGGTTAAAAATACTTAAATTATCAAATGTTCATAGGTATAATCCATGGTTTGAAAAACAAAATAAGAAAAAAAACTCTTACATTCTGTAGCAATACATATAATATGCAGGGAGTTTTATTCCTCTCCAACCCTACCAGCTCCCGCTCTCGATATCCCAGGAGGATATCAAGACTTGCCCCAGACTTTGCCACTAGCTCTGTACTGGTTATCAGAAGGTATAGGTTACAGATGCTTGTTTTCAAGTACTTTTAAAAGGGCTGTAAATTTTTTCAAGTTTTATTTGGGCAAATATAATTATTATCACTTTCAACATCTCTAGACCAATGCTGGAAGAGGTCCTAAGCAAGGTTATGTTACTATAGCATCTAATCATCTGGCATATTCAACAAGGAAGAGGCAATACTTAAATTCCTGTTACATTTGCTTAGGATTATACTCATTCAGCCCTTTATGCCACTTCTGAATCTGGCCATTTGAATCTCAGGGTTCATTTTACACAGAGTAATTGTTAGTAGTTTACCTATAGCAGCATAGTTCAGGTAATAACACTCAGAAAATGCAGGGGCCTAATACCAATATAAGTATTTTTTATGGTGATACAACTGATCTTCTAGATAAATGAATGTAAGCTATACAGGGAGCAAGATACCTTTATACTGGTGTAACTTTAACTAAATCCACACAAGCAGTTCAACTGCAACTCTTACACTAGTACCAAAAAGCACACAAATCAGAGAGAAAGCAGCTTATTGGAGGAGGTCTAAATTACGCTTGTGCTGATAGGGGCAAGGATGGTATCAAATACATTAATTCAAACCTTCTCTCTGTATACAGATTCTGAGTCAGTTGGTCTGTTTTTATATCTAGGGTACCATTTTTACTTACATACTTACATCAGCACTATTCCCAGTATGGGCACAATTATATCAGCACATAGTAGTCTGAGGCCAGTGCATGATTTATGTCCATTTGCATACAAGAAGAAGCTATGTTAGTTTCAGAACCAGCATTTACATGGACACAAATGGACCTCACAATGATTGCCTTGATTTGATGACACAGGAATAATTAAAATGGTACAATCTTTCTAAGCAGGCATTTTCATAAACTTCCGTCAAGAGTCAATTCTGATTGGATCTGTGGGTCTGCAAAATTATGACAGGGATGGTAACAGTAACCACCTATCGATCCATCTCGAATGGTTAATAATACTACTCTCACGATTCCCAAAGCAATGCACAGGGACTGCATTACATCACCTTCATCAGACATCAAAAGACAGCTATGTATATATGCAAGCAATAAAGGATATAGCAATGTTTTGTTACTTTTCACGTAATATGTTACTGACACTGCATCACTCTACATGCCCTGTTTTTCTCAGAATTGCAATCACTTCATCAAATTGTTTCTCCATTTTCATAATTTCCCAAAGTATGACATACATCTAAACAACTCAGTGTCTTACTAATAACTTTCAAGGTAGCGCTCATTCGCATAACAGTTGGTTTGAGACAAAACAAAACAGGCTTTAAATGTTCTTTAAGTCCTTCTTCAGGCACAACTGAACTTCAGGTCAGACAAAAATGAATTTCTGGAAGGGCACTATTACCTACTGGTCACTACAAGAAAATCCCAAAGCAGGAGATAGATACGGGATTCTGAAAACTGTTTATCTCTAAAATTACCTAGCTCCTCTGATACCCCTGGGCAGGTGGAATACAGCTGTCCTCGGATGCTGGGAAGAAGGTGGGGCCACCGATTCCCACAAGGAGGAAGAGAGGAGAAAAATCACATGGGGACAGAGAGCAGTGGACAGTGACAGAGGAAAAGCTCATTTCCTTCAGGCAGGTGAGTGAGCACACCTGCACTGCTCCCCAGCGACAGGGAGGGACTCGCAGCCTCCATTTATGTTTTCGAGGCAGGCAGTTTCAGAGGCGGGTTGCAAAGGAGCTGGGATCTTGGAAACAGGGACTGGAAATATTTTCTGGTCTTAGCTTCTTTGCACGCACTTGTTACTGGAGGAATGTCTATGGACTGCCCACCTGCAAACCGAACGGGGAACGTGTTGGCTGAGTTTTGGAAAGAGAGCATGCGCAGAGCCGTCTGGTTTTCTCTGCAGGCTTCAGCGCTCAGTGACTGCGCAAGCATGCATCTTTTAAGCTAATGCTGACACTATCAATATTCACTTAGGCAGATCATTAAAGACTCAGTTCCATTATGTTCTCAACTCATAGTCTCATTTATTCTCATTTTTTTCTCATCCCTCGGCATGATTTGAGCTTAATATATTTCTATTTATAGGATTGCATGGCATATCTTATATACATAATTTAAGCATATCAAATCGCATCTCTGAGACAAATATTCTGAAAATTTTGCTTTCAGGTGTCTTCTTTCTTAAGTCACCATTCCCTGGTCATATGGTCTTTTGCTACAGCATGATTTTGAGTGATGTTATCAAAAACCACACCTGCTTACACTTCCACTGACTGAAATCTTTAGGGTAAAATTTCTTTTGACTTATACTTCCTGCAGCCTTACTGGCCACGGATGGTTTGTTACCAGCATTAATAACCACGTTTTTAGCTTTCCTGAGCGCTCTTGGAAAGTAATCTCAGACTCCTCTGAAGTAAAGTTTCTGGGAGTACATTAAAAGCTTTTATTGCCCTTGAAAATCATTTTTTCTTAACAACAGGCCCTGATGCAGTGATGCCATCTAATAAATCTGTGTAGATCTCTTCAATTTTTCTAACTCCAGCAAATGCCACTAAGAAGCAGGGGCTCACATGACATTCAAAATTAGTTTCCAACAATTATTTCGCCAAGGAGTATAACTTCCATTTAAAGAGTTAATCATTTTTTCAGATCTCATTTAATTGTCTCCAAACAGTGGTAGAAGCATTTAAGAATAAGTGTTTCTCGATATTTCTAAAGAACGAATGCAGAGTCTGGCCTTTGATCTAGATTACAGTAGTATCAAAATAGAGGAATGAATAGGAAATGCATTTGCTACAGAGGAGACAATAGATGTTAAGCCTTAAGCTTTGGCAAAGAAATGACTTAGGAAAAATGAGCTGTGCATCATAAGACTGGTAGTTAATTAGACAGCTTACTGAAGGCCAAGTTTTCTTGGCATTCTTAAGTACATTGAGAACAGCTGGCTGTTTGCCATATATACGTGGCATTGTAGTGAATGAAGATAAACGTCGTGGCTCCCTATTGAAGCAGCTAATTTATTTTACCTGAAATTCTTCGATTTGTGCAGTAGGCTTAAAAACAAGAATAAACCTGATATTAGACTGGAGCCTATGGATGGGATCCAAAACAGGATTTAAGCACCAGCATGGACAGTTGGGTAGAATGGAAGCAATAAGTAACTGGGTCACATGTCTTCTGGTCTTTAGGTTACCTATCCTTCACAGGGCTTGCAGTGTGTGACCTTATGGGCCCAAAAGTGACACAGTTTTACAGTGCTGAGCAGTTTAGCACTTTGCTTG